ATATTTTCAGACGAGGCACATTTTAACCTCAGTGGCCACGTAAATAAGCAACGCTGAAGGATTTGGGGTTCGGAAAATCCACACGAGATCCTTGAATAACCTCTCCATGATCAAAAAGTAACTCGTCGCTGAATGCAGAAGTATTCTAAGTCACAAAATGCATATTTTACAAGAGAGCTATTTTTCGTGTTTGTGTCTTGCCTAACATTTTTGAGAAATTTTGGATATACAATGCTTTACCGGAAAAAAGTATGACTAGTCCGTGAAAGTAGACTTACATTTGTTGCTGACATTGGTCTTACAGTCGTTCTGCAAGTGATCATCTGCTCTTATCATAGTTCTGCAGCGAAATGACGCGCCTCAAGCTATTACGCCAAAATATCGTTCAAGACCAGTGGTGGGGGAACGCTTGCGCAGGGACTTACAATACCTCTGCATGCAATGTAGGTGACTATGACCTACAATGTCGTGTTAAAATCTGAAAAATGAAGAATTTGGACATACAATAGTTCTGCATTCAGCCGACGACTGTTTGGTGCGGATTATGGGTTTATATTAAAAAAATAAGGAACGGATGGAGCACCCTATACATCATTTCACGTAAGATATCCAAATCGTATCCGTCATTTAAAATAATAGGCATCCTACAGCAACCATTTTGATTTGTACTTTAAGAAAGGCCAATGATGGACAAAACTACGGCTTCCCACTTGTTTGCAAAATCAAAACGAAGACTCGCAAGGCAGATACCAATACTTGGCCAACAAAACCAAGATCAAGACTGTGTTGCCAGAATCTTGCGGTTGTTGCAAGGACTACCTGCCCAAAATATTGACATCTGACAAGTGCTAAATTGAGTTCGTTGACTACTTCTACAAAGTGAAGATTCAAATATCATGACACTTTCTTGGAGGTATCAACTGAATAGTTGGAAAATGTTGGTAGGTTAGAAAAATCTATCTTTGGTTCACAAAAAGTTTTTTTCACACATTCGTGCAAATTTCAACATATTTCCCCAAAACAGAAACAGAAGTACTACCCAGCTTACTTAAAATTGTTTAACGTATCTTAAAACACCGAATATATGAATATAAGATTACGTTTTAATTATTATAAGCTTCATTTTGTGGCACAGAAAAACAAATTTACAAAATTTTACATTATTTGTGGTATTTGCCATTATTAAAGTCATAAAAAACTGACAACCTGTAACACGAAGGTAAGCAATTTTTTACTTAAGCATGTAAGGTTCAAAAGCTTTATTTTAGTCTGAGCTGTCACACTTCTCAGTTAATCATGAGACACGTTACGGGATTGTAATATTACTATTAACCAAAATACATACAACACACTTTTATTCTAAATTACAAACCTTGGCCTCCAGGAAAGTTGGACAAAGTCTTTCCAATGCATGGGTCTGGTTCTTTGAGAATGAAGCACAGGTCTGTGTTATAATCTAGCCGAATGGCCGATGATATTTTTTTATCGTGCACTATTCTACTACTCTTATTGTGACACTCATGTTGTTGCTCTTGATATCATGAAAGCCTTCTATCAGCAATGACATGCTGTTTTCTTGCGGAAGCTTCCATCTTATGGCCTTCCACAGCCCACTGATCTAATTCCTTCTATGTCGAGCTGTAAGATTCCTATACTTTCAAGATCAAATGCCTCTTGATATTGAGAAGGACCATGATCTACGATTGTCGATGAAAAATGGCGACAAGTAGGTTGACTCTACACTTCTCACGCAACGACGTTATCAGTCATAAAGGTTTATGTTCAGCACAAGTTATCGAAATAAAGCAGCTTCATAGACCGTATATAAGGGTTGTCCAATAGGGACGCAGGAAAGTAAACGTCAATTTGACATAGACGCCATCTTTGTTTTCTCTCACCGACATGTCATTTTGTTAGTTGAATGTTTACCATTGATCGCTATGGAGTCGTATTCGATTGAAGACCGCATTAAAGTTATTCAATAGCACTACAAAAATGGTGCAAAAATAAAAAACACGTTTCGCGCGCTTCATGAACATTTCGGTCGCAACAACCGCCCAAACGAAACAACAATCGGTCGTCTGGTGCGTAAAATCGAGGCAACAGGTTCTGTGGCAAATCTGCCAGGCTCTGGCCGGCCAAGGAGCATTCGCACACCGGAAAATATTGGTGTTGTGAAGGAGAGTGTGAGAGACGATCCGAAACAATCAACAACGCGTCGATCCCAAGAAATGGGCATTTCGAGAACCAGTTTGCTCCGCATTCTCCACAAGGATTTGAATGTACACGCCTACAAGATCCAATTGACGCAAGAGCTGCGTCGGGCCGACCATTTTTTTCGCCGAACGTTCTCAGATTGGCTCCTTGATCACCGCCAAATTGATGCCAATTTTTCATCAAAAATCATGTTCAGCGACGAAGCGCATTTCACTTTGAATGGGACGGTAAACAAGCAAAACTGCCGCATCTGGGCGAACGAAAATCCCCGTGAGTATCAAGAGCAGCCGATGCATCCTCAAAAAGTGACTGTGTCAAAAGGCATCATCGGACCTTACTTTTTCGAAAATGCGGCCGGGGACGCCGTTACCGTCAATTCTGAGCGATATCACGTGATGATAGAGGACTATTTTTTGCCGCAACTTGAAGGAATGGATATGGACGATGTTTATTTCCAACAAGACGGTGCATCATGCCACACAACCAACGTCAATATCCATCGATTGCAGTCCTTCTTCGGTGATCGCGTGATTTCGCGCAGAGGAAATGTGCCATGGCCACCAAGATCGTGCGATTTGACTCCCTTGGACTTCTTTTTATGGGGATATTTGAAAAGCAAAGTCTACGTCAACAAACCAGCCACCCTCCAAGAACTCAAAAACAACATCATTGCTGAGATAAATGCCATAGAACCGACCATGTTGCAAAATGTCATTGAAAATTTCGACCATCGCGTGCACGCCTGTAAATCCAGTCGTGGTGAACATTTGAGCGATATTATTTTTCATACATATAGTAAATGGTATAAATGAACCTTCAAAATAAAGTACCCAACTTGATTTGAATATCAATCTTTCTTGTTTTAATATGCGTTTACTTTCCTGCGTCCATTTTGGACAACCCCATACTTGATATAAGACAGTTGCTGTTTGCGTTAATTGTCCCAGAGACCAATCCTAGACAATATGTGTTGCCAAAAAAACACGAAACGGCCGTCTGTGGTTAGCTGTCGGTCTAACAGGTCTGCACAATTAGTCCATGATATCCCTGATCTACCGTTAGTAGCGTTAATCTGACAACGTCGTCTCGTCTTTCCCCAATATCTGGAAGGATGATGCGTCACACGCCGCAGAGCGCCCACAGACCACCACTCATGCAGGATACATACGAGCACCGGCCCAACTGTAACGGCTGTTGAAGTAAGCAGACATAGGGACGCTTGTCGAACATATTTCTGTCGTTCTATTTTAAGGTCAACCTATGATATGTGAAATATGTCCAATAGGTTGCGTAGAACTATCGGGGTTGGAAGTGCAATGATATACCGACATCAAAAAACTGCAATACATCCTCCCCCACCCCCCTACATCCCCATCCCCCGACTTTTTACCCCTACAAAGATTTTAAAAAATTACCAGGACTCTCTGAAACGCCAGAGCGAAGTTTTTTTTGACATTTTTATTTGCCGCTACTGGACCTATTTTCAAAAGGTTTTTCGTCCCTAGCATAGTAGTATCCTTGTGTAAAAATTGCATCCCGTCCAGTAGTTTCCAAGTTGTAGACGGGCCAAGGATTATAGGGCAGACAGACCCACGGACAGACAAACCAACAGACATCTCGACTGTAATAAGTGACATGGCTTTTCGTGATGTACATTATATCTCATTTTCGAAATTTCGCGATTACAAAATCTCCTCGCCAGTAGGCATTGGAAGTAATGCCCGGATTACACTAGGCCAGTTTTTCAAGCTAGGATAGCAAGCTAGATATTCCGGTATCCTAGCCTGAGTTACTTTCCTGGCTTGGCGCATGCTAGAATGGTTTAAAGGTTGCTAGGATGCTAGGAAATTTTAGGCCAGTAGCCAGTACTATTGCAGAGATCAATAGAGCAATAAATCCACTGAAAATGAAAATATTTCTAAAACACCCAATGTTCGACTGAAACAGTTACTTCGAAACTGTGCCAAATTGCATTGGATGAACTAAAAGAAGCTTTATTGGAAAAACGAGTTTGGACAAGACCATGGATTTTAAAAAGAAACGAACGTGGATCATCCGGACTGGTGTTAGAAGAACTTTGCAATGAAGACGTAAAAGAGTATATCAGTATTCTACGAATGATGCCAGATATGTTTGATATTCTGTCGAGTCTTGTGATGCCAAAAATTACACAGCATACTATTATGAGAGAGGCCTTACCAGCAAAAGTAAAATTGGAGATCACATTAGATTTTCTTTCTTCCGGCATCAGTTACAGAAGACTGAGTCACTTTTATCGGGTTTCAAGGTGTTCCATATCTAAATTCCTACCAGAGGTATGTGAAGAAATCTTCAAGGCATTGAAAGAAAACTTAAAGGTTAGCACTAATAATAACTTATATATTATATATGTTTTTATTTATCACAAAATTACACATAAGAATATAAAAAACTTATGCATTGCGGAATGCTACAGCAATAGGATCCTCATTGTCCTGGCGTAAGAAATCGAAATTAATCTCGTCGATTGGATTTTGTCTTTGATAATTATCTTCATTTTATGTAATTATTGACAAAACCGACTCTCCTGATGTAAGTGGCAATTGTACAGTATTAATTGTTGTGTGTGAATCTGAAGAGCAATGACTACTAGGCGTCTTGCATGTAAATGTGGTGTTTACGCAGTTCAGATCTTCCATGCGAAACTGAGATAATATGGCATTGATTTTGTCCCGAGCCATAGTAGTGTAGAATGCTCATCCGTAGATGTACTATTTAAATCACCCTTTATGGACTTTATTTCCCTAACCAATGATGTCACACGCAATTTTTCTCTTTTTCGGAGTTGGAGCTGACATTTTATAGTTTGATTTACTAGTAGTTTTCGCAGTTGGTGTCGCAGACTCGTTGCGTTGTAGTATATTACCTGTTGCAGATGTAGATGGCCGTGGTGAAAAATTTTCAGAATTTGCAACGTCTTCACTGTTATCACTATTGTCATTGCTGTTGTCAACATGATTTTCTTTGCTATTTTCAACGTTGGCTTGGCTCATTTGGCTGTTTTCTAACTCTTCATCTATTGCTGATTCTTGACTGTCCTAAAACAAAAAAACACTTTAGTAATAATTATAATAAATAGGTACATATTATTATTTTTTGGAGATACCAAATAATGCCGAAGAATGGGCGAAAATAGAAAATGGATTTAGAAAGAGATGGAACTTTCCTTTATGCTATGGTGCCATTGATGGAAAACATATTCAAATTATCGCTCCTGGTAATAGTGGAAGTATGTACTTCAATTATAAAAAAGTGTTCAGTATTGTTCTTATGGCGTTAGTAGATGATGACTATTGCTTTCGTGATGTTGATGTCGGGGCTTGTGGAATGGCATCAGATGGAAGAGTAGGTATTTAAAAATTGCTCCATATATAATAAACTGGAGAATAATCTTTTACCAGAGGGTGGAGTGACTATTGTGGATGCCGCATTTCCATTAAAAACCTATATTATGAAACCTTACCCTGGTGAGTATTTAACACAGGAACAGAAAGTTTATAACTACCGACTCTCTAGAGCGAGACGAATAGTGGAAAATGCTTTTGGTATATTGGTAAGCCGATTTCGTGTATTCCAAAAACCAATTGCAACTAATGTAAAAACAGTAGACAAAATTGTATTAGCAGCATGCGCTTTACATAATTGGTTGAGAAAAGAAAAAAGAAATTATTTAATCAGCAGTGCATATTGATGCAGGAACCATCTAATATGGCTCTTGGAGAACAGAAACTGCAGGACTTGAGATGTTATGTCAACAAGGGAGTAATCATTCTTCGATGTCAGCAATGGTGAGAAGAGACGCCTTTAAAACCTACTTTAACAATGATGGTGCGGTGCCTTGGCAATTAAAACTGATTTCTTGACTATTTATTTATGTGTGCGCCACCTTGACAACGCGACGCTTTTCAAAATTTCCCTGTGTTTTGACACCCATTTTCTTTGTATTATAAATAAATAAATAAATAATGCAATTCTACTTACCGTGGTTTTCCTTTTCATAGGTACACATTTAATAAAACTGTGCATTTCGTCGAACCAATTTAATTTTGACTTATACTCGTCCTTAGAAGGTTCTAAGAGCAGGTGCTCTAGACCTAGTTGATTTTTCAGTTGTTGACAGTTCCTGGACAGTAAGTTGCTCGTAAATTTTTTATTTTCATTTTTATGTCTTTGATAGACATTTCTAAGCCGAGTTCTAATAATTTGCCACTTATTTTTTGTAGTGCTGTATCACGAATGGACTTATCTTTATATGATGGAATAGTGGCGTTCCACAGACATTCTTCCTCACGATACATTTGTACAAACTTTAAATTAATCTCAGCACTTAATTTTGGCATGTTGATAATTGTTTTAGAAGCACGTGGTTATCTCCTTGAAAAAGTAAAACAGGTCGACACTACGCACTTGCCGTTCGAAAACGCTAGCTTGGCCGGCCAGACGAAGGTGGTACACACAAGCCAGGATAGTAAAATCAGTGGAGGGGGACGCTGCTAGCTTAACAAAACAGAACTCCATGCTATTAAAACTATCCAGCTTTAGACGCTGGCTTTCTGTCTTTCTGACTAGCTTACTAGCCTATACGTAAAGCTAATTCTGTATACATGAAGCTAGTACTACTAGCTTGCTAGTTTAAAAGCACTAGCTTGCTATCCTAGCTTGAAAAACTAGCCACGTGTAATCCGGGCATAAAACATCCAGCAGCCACTTGTGAAGACTATTAAGCCGCGATGAAATCACGTTGCCCAAAGTGTAACCCAGAATAATATGATATCCCTCTCCCTCATTATTCTTACAAAATCCAATGAATTAGTTTAAATAAGCGTTTCAAGAATTTACTGTGCTTTTCCAGTTTTCAATATTGGCTGTTACTCTCGGTCCTCGGGGTAATTTCCATGCAACGCGCACCACGTGCTACATAATGTATTTCCCCGGCTATTATGATCAGATTTATAGTCTGGCCGGAAATAAGAAAAACCAAAATTGCTCCGTACTCGACCGGCTGGAGTTTCTTAAGAGAGAAATATATTACTTCATTTTCCATTGTTATAGGAAGTCTTACATTGGCTGTATAGCATGCGCTTCCGGAAAATAATATTCTAATATCAAGGATGCACCATGTTGGGTGAAACGCTTACATAAATTAGCTTGGAGGGAACAAGCACAAACTTGCCTCTTACCGAGAATTAAATGGACAAAATTGAATTGAATGTAGAAACTCTAATGATACCAGCTTTTTTATGTTCAATGGGTGACCCAAATGCGGAAGTACCGGATCTCAAGCGGTCTCAAACAATAGACTGAGTATACAATGTGACGGGAAAATAGATGCGGAGCCGGTGGGGGGAGATAGTACAAGCCAATCTGAGTGGATTTTACTATAGAAACTACTGTTCGAAAATTAGCCATTTTCGAAGTATTATACTAATTTTTAAGATTTTATAAAGTTAATGTCCTTTATACGTTAACCAAGTCATAAAACTTGAAAATTGGGTGTTTCTTTTGATTTTTTTATTTTAGAACAAAAATATTCTAAAATACGAAAATTGATCCTCAAATGTATATTATTGACGTTATCTCATGCATTAAGCTTCAAAATAGTTCAATTTTTGTTAAAAAAAAATCTTCATTTGTCTCAAAAACTCAATTTACTAGAAACAATCACCTACAAATTTCTTGTGCAAAACAATTTTAAAATATCTACGTTTCATTACCTTTCAAATGAGGTATCAAAGACAAAAACCGGTTTAGAAATGACAGAGAAACAGGTAGAGCCGCGAACATCGGACCTTGCCACCGGGATAGTGTGATAATTAAGACTAGTCACCCCCCTCCCTCCCTCGCTTCAATCTGCTCTTGCGATTTGTGGCATTTGGATGTTTGTTTGCTCGCTGTTTTGCTATTTCTAACGACTTGGTTCTTGTTGGACTTCCGTGTGTGATTCTTTTCCTAACGACCTAGACTGTACCCTGTTTTCTGTGATTCCTTACGACTTGGCTGCTGTGTGACTTGATTGTTCGTTGATCTACCTATCGATGAACAATGGCTGATGAACAAAGGAGGCGGCCGTTCATTTTCGAAGAATATTCCGATATCCTTTTCTACTATAGAGATGCCAGAAGCTCGTCGTGAGTATGGGGAAATGTTTCCTAATCGTCGCCTACCTGACGCCCGCGTATTTAGGCAAACGTTCCGTCGGGTTCGAGAGCGCGGTACCGTCGTAAGATATCAAGGTAAATTTGCATCATTGATAATTATTAACTTATCATAATCAGTCATTCAGTAAGGCCTTGGAGATTTGTGGGCTGAACTGATGATACTGTAACATAGTTGTTTTGATACAGTTGATTGAACTTCTTAATTAAGAGCTTATTCATTTAATTTTAACACGAGCATCTACACGGCTCTGAAGATGGAAACATCCACACGTTGTGTATCCTTTTTTCTAAATAATATTTTGCCAACTCTAGTTCATAGTCTTACCGCTATGTTTATTAGGTAACAATTTCCTCCAAAAAACTGTTGTTATTTGTTTTTTCATTTCATTTCAGGTGATGCAGGTAGACCTCTACATGATGTGGAAGAAGAAGAAATATTAAATATTTTCCAAAGAGACCGTTACTCTCTCTCTACTCGTGCTGTGGCTCGACGGCTTGGATTATCCCAATGGCAAGTGTGGTATGTTTTGCATGAAAATATATTCCACCCTTACCACTACACACCTGTGCACGTCATAGAGGAAGGAGATCCCATGAGGCGCATGCAGCTTCGTCGTTTTATTTTAAACGCTAATGTTGAAGTTAGCAATTATTTAAGAAACATTCTAGACGGTATAACAAACTACCATAACGCTCACTATTGGCGTGACCGTGCAGTGGGAAATCCTCATATGAAGAGAGCAAAAGGATCTCAAAGGCAATTTTGTCTGGATGGGCATTATGCATAACTGTTTGGTAGGACCACATTTTCTACCCGACAATTTAAATTACTTGAAGACGTGCCGCTACACACAAGACACAGAATGATTTTTCAGCATGACGGGTGCCCAGCACATTTCCGACTAAGGGCCAATTTCACCAACGACAGTCCATTATTCTCCACCTATAGGGTAACAGCCCGTCAAATACAGCGAATGAGCTTCAAGTTCCAATCAACAAATTTTAGCAACCAATAGCTATGAAATGTTGAAAATAAAATACTGTCAAAGTATGAGATGACAACTTGTCATTGAAACTTCAGCAGCTTATTGAATATTAAGAAATTACATATAATTCAGTCGAAATTTTAAGAAATGTTTGATTTTTGAATTAAATTCATGTTTTAATTACTATTGTTGATGTTTTATTCATGTTTATATTATTTTCTTCAATTGACGTGTGATACTGGGTGTTTTTTCCTATAAACCTCTTGCAGATCATTGAGCACCTACTTGACGACAGGCTCTACCGAAAGATATTGCTCGTTTCCAAACATTCATTCATTTACTTGCCGTTCATCAGAACCATTATGGCGCCTTAGATTGATATTCCCACAAAACCATTCAGGTTTTTTGATATCCATACGTCCATAAAGTTGAATATTCTTCGTTGTTCAGGAACTGAACAAACATCCACACTATATTCACAGCGATTAAGAAATTCCCAAATATATGCCTTAAAGCTACCAGCAAACCTAAAACCTGCAAAAAATCTACAAATTTGCCATATTTTTCTTTTTTCACGTGTACACATTCTAGGTTATATTTATATTAGACATTATTTGAATACAGCTGATTATTGCATTTCAAGGAGTGACACATGTGTGGGATCTGTCAACCCATGGTACCAGTCACAAAACATATACTCTGAAGGTTTAATTCCATGCTATTCAATGACAACATGGTGACTTACGTGGTTGTGAGCGGCCATTTTTTGAGGATGCAACATGGTTGCCAGATTGTGCATTAATATCATATTTCACCCCCCTGGTCCCAGTGGAGTACGCTCCGCCAACTGCTGAAATATACTCTACTATGCTTTCTAAGACTATTCGTGACATTTTTCCCAAAATCATTGCACAACACTTGAAAAAATGCAAATGAAAATTTAAAATTATTTCCACGACGCGACGCCGCAAAATAGCTCCGTCGGTACATTGGGTTATACATCTTGACAGTAGGGATGATCGATACGATCCTATATTTAGAAGTGTCAATACATTTCACGAGTATCGTCATCTTTCGATCCGGACTGTGTCAGAAAGAGTGACTGCCATTTGGCTGCGACACTATCCTGCCAAATCAGACATATCTTTCATCGTTTTCAAAGAAATTGTACAAAATCTTCAAATTTGTGAAGTTAGCGAGTTTCACTTCATACGTTGTTACCAGACATACCCAAATCATCAGCTGCTGCCGTGATATTCATCCCGACCACTGCATCCACACGGCTAGGCGACCTGTATGTTAAATTTGTATTGATAGGGCAGCGGGTTATGCTATAAATCATGTCACAGTTTTTGTGCACTGATTACAATGGTTAGATGATACCAAAAATATTTTCATAAATAGGAGATCTTTCCCATTCCGGATCGAACAATCCACCAAAGATGCTTATAATCATGCTACACAGTAAATTTACATGAAAAATCCTCTGTATGTAGGTATATAAGAGCTTTCTTATATTTGTTCATCAATTTGATGATACAACACATCTGCTACAAATGATCATAATCAGGATAGTAAACTATGACGAAGGTCCACTGTATGTAAGAATTTTCAAATACTTCATTTGCAATTTGACAACAGACCATGACGGTGTTCACATTTTTCAAATATTCTTCAAGAAGTGTTAACAGTCTAGCTCCAACTATCATATGTACTATGTTTGTATTCCTACTTTAAATTCAAAACCAGCAAATGTAAAAGATTCATGTCGCACCCTTCATCACGGGACGTGATCGTCGTTAGACTTGGCAACCCTGCGAGTGACAGATAGATAACCCCACCATTATGCATCACGAATGTAGGGATTGACACGTCTTACACATATTATCTGTGTTTTAGGATGGATAAATTCGTTAACCCGTAAATTAATAAATGATTACTATTATGATGTAAAGGAAGATGAGGAATTGGATGGAATGTATTTTATATTCTATTTTCTTGCAAAATACAGACAAATCCACACTATTCAACGGGTATGTAATGATAACAGTATGTTGAACTTAAATTCGAGATTGCCATGCATTAACAAACGTCCAAATCTGCTGCCAAATTTAACAGCTAGAAAATCGACCTATTATTTGCCGCATTCCCATTGGCTTTTGGGGCTAACTGATTGTTAAATGTAAATTTATAACACAAATCAAAATACATGAAAGTTGACCTGTTTTCTCTGTACAAAAGCATCATGTTGGAATCAAGAAGTGATCTTGTTTATAATACAGTCGAATTTTCACGATTTTATTCAATATTTTAATAGAAATCACTGATATTCTGAGACCTTTGACAGCTTCTGTCAAATTGCATTTCGATAAGGTATTTTCCCATTGGTCCATAATATTAATGTTGGTGAA